CCGTCCCGGGACTCCCGGGTCATTTGTGGTCCCCGGGTCTCTGGGACTGCCCCCGCTGCTCCGACCTGTAGCTTCCAGTCTCCCCTCCACCAAAACGGTCCCCTTAACCCCCCCCTTTAAGTGCTGGGGGGGGGCGTTGCCATAGCAACCGTGATCACACCCCTTGTTACCACCTTTCTAGGAAAGGCCTGCAGTGGGAGGGGTCGCAGAAGAGGCCCTCCCTCCCACCCCACCCCGCTCACCCCTCGACCTCAGCTCTCCTGGCTTAGCCCGCCCTGGCCTCTAGCATCCACGGAAACTGGCCTCAGACTTCCGGCAAACGAGAAGAGGCCCAGGCCCAGAAAAGACAGCAAGTCCTTCCTGCCACCTCCCCTCCATCCCCTCAGCTAGAGGTCAGAGTCCCCAGGAGAAGCCCCTGAAGAGGCTCACTCCAGTGACCGATGCAAGAGCCTGCCAGCCGTGCTCCCAACCCCCGGCCGACAGAGCGCCCTCCGGCCTTCCTGTCTGCGCCTCCGACTTGACCTCTTCACCTACACTCCCTGCCCCCCACTCCCTCTGTGCTGGGTGGGTGCTCGGGCCGGACGAGGGGGCAGTCAGCGGAGAGACGGCAGGGAGGGACCGGAGGGAGGGGAGGTGGGTGGGCCCGGCTCCCGGGGGTGGGGGTGGGGGACGGGGTTGAGGGCTGCTGAAATGAGGGCGCAGGGAGGCCTGGTGGGGGCTGGACTCTGCCTTCTAGCAGAGGGAGCCGGGCAAACGGCAGATGGACCGAGGAGGCAGGAGGCGGGACCAAGTGACCTCACCCAAACCCTGCTGTCTGCTGCTCTCGCAACCTGGCCAGGCTCCCAGCTCTCCTGGGTCCCCAAGTAGGAGTGCTTTTTATAGCTCACTCCCCAACTTGGGCTTGAATAATTAAACAAGATGGACAGAAATAGCAGCGGGACAGTGAAGGAGGTTATTTTGGGGTTTTCTGGAACACAGAGTGCTCCTGGGCTGCACCCTACCCCTGCAGGGGGCGGAGCCAGCACCGAGGCCTATGAGAGATTCCTGTGGGGGAAACCCACCCGCACCCCCTTTTCCTGGGCTTGACAGGGTTGCTCTCAGCCTGAGAAGGGTCTCCCCGCCCTCCCTGGTCTTCCAGGGCGGAGAGGGCTCGCACCGCCTTCTCGTCCACACGGCAAGACCCTCTGTCGTTTGTCAGCCCTCCTCCTTCAGAGGGGGGGACAGATATTGCCCATGAGATCGAAGGCGGCTGCAAGACGGGCCGGCCCAGGACAAGGCGGCCACTGCTCCCTGGCGAGCCCCGGCCGGTGATGAGAGGTCTTGGGCCCCCGCCTGCCCGAAGCTGACTAGGAGAAGCTGTGGAGGGGGTGGGGGTGGGCGGTGGTTCCCTCCTAGTGCCTCAGGTATCTATTCTCTGTCCCTGCCTACCGCTCTTGCCTTCAGCCAGGCCACATTCCTCTTAATTACTCGATTACTAGATTAATTGCCAGCCAGCTCTTCTCAAGCCCATGCTCCTCCCC